ATGTTGGTATAGTGCAAAAAGCTTCGTATACCGCATATTTTCACTCGTCATATCGATGTTTTACTGTATATGTGATGCATATATGATTTGCACATTTACCACGAATCTTAAATGTCCGCTGCATGGATTTAAAAAACTAGGCAATACGGCGGCCGTGCAGAGCAAACAAATAGCTACGTAGCTATATGTCAAAATGAAACCACAAAGCAAAATTAAATATTAACATGAGAAACTTTGCTACCCACCATATATGAATTGATCTTGTTTCTTGAGATTCGTGAACTGTATATGAACACTACTTTTTCGCTTTCTGCATTCTTTATAGCTAATATGAAATACTCAGGTGATTGTATGCTTTGTAGCATTTCGGCGTTTAAATACATGTTTGTAGTTAAACTCGGAGACGCTCAAATGAGCTCGAAACACTATATATATGCAACTCGATCGAATTTCATCCTAACTGATATTAAAACTATACGAGCTACTCATAAAAAGGCGCCGGCTTCAGTCTTTGATTGGTAAAAGTTATGTTAATGGTTTATTCCAGATATATAGACTAAATTTTGATCCAGACAAGGTGCCCCCCCCCCTCTCCTCCGCAGAGCCTCCTTAAGTATTTACAAATAACTTACATAAAGTTTCCTGAATAAAAGTGAGCGTGCGCGGTGTGATGGGAAGATTGAAATAAAGTTGGGGAGGCTCTGCCAGATAATGCGACGAAGTATGGTTTTTGAACCAAACTATAGTTGTTTGACCTTTTTTTAAACTTGAAATCGACGGAAATGTGAAAGAAATTGAAATGAATCTTCATAATCTGAGTATCGAAGTTCAACAGAGTCATTTTTATAAAGATATGTTGCAATTAAGAGGATATTTATAATCAGATAGCTCGTATCCATTGATATTCGTTTGCAACTTCTCAATATTTTTCGATGCAAATGGACAGAAGAAGATATTGATACTGAATTCACACCAGGATATTCAAGTACGCCTGAAAATGAAGGTCGAAAACATGTTTTAACACCCCGATGGTTGATCGAACTTCGTTACAAACGATTATATACGACGCCATATTGATTGCATTAACTCGCAGAGGCTTTCTTTATTTAGCTCTTCCCATCACTCCTTGCGCGCTCACTTTTCCCTCACTAAAAACTTAATGTAAGCCTCTGCGGAGGAGAGAGGTG